ATATATTTGGATCGCAGAGAGAAAGAGATTTGACACAAACCTAAAAAATGTCATCATTATCTAATCATCATCTTCATCAACTACAACGACAAAGTTAGTGGAATCGAGAAATATGGCGTCGTATTTTGTTTACTTTCAATTGTTCTGTATAAAACTGTTTAACTGTATAACACTGTTTGTGTCAAATCTCCGACCGACATTTATGTTCAAGACGCTTTCATTTCTTTCATGGTCTATTTTCGTGTTATATTATGTTTAATCAAATGATTGTGTTCTTTCTTGTACGTACCAATATGAAAAATAAATTATTAAGTCTCAGTGACGTCTATTTCCGCTTTTGAAACGTTTTAAATTTGGACAGTTTTTAACAGACTAAAATATTGTTCTTCACCTCATTGTAAGATGTTACTACAATTATTGCACTCTTATATAAACGCAATTTCTAAATTAATATCCTTTCAATTCAAAATGTTTAATTTTATCTCCAATTATAATTTCAAATATGACCGATGTATTTAATTTTAATGAATAATTTTTCATTGATTGGAGGGAACGGAATAATATAGCTACATTTGGGACAATAACAATTAAAAGACTTCTCAAAAAGACGGCCATCTGCACTTATCTATTTTTTTCTTCGTTTCTCCGATCAATACCAGACCAATGTCGGAACCGTCCGCGATCTTTCCTTCATCTCCCTTGTTCTCTCCTCTCTCCTGCTTTCAAACACATACACTTACATGAGCACACCTGTCGTGAGAGAAGTCGGGAGCTTAGAGCTTATCCCGGCAGCGGCGGTGCCCCGCTGATGGAGATACCTAGATGTGGAAATCCCGCCAGCCGTCATGTAGTTCGATGTCTTTGTTTGTAGGTTTGTTTTAGTGATTCCGAGCACGTCAACTACCAGGATTATTAGTCCCGTACATGTAATGCCGGTGTTTGCTCGGGCTATTGCTGTGATCTTTAGTGTGTGTGTGTGTGTGTGTGTAAGGGGAGAGGATAGGACACAGAAGAGGTACGAAAGATCGCGCGGTCCGTAGCCCGTTCGTTTGGGTCAGCGCCACAATTGATAAAACATGAACTACACTTACGGGACCAATGACTGTGTCTGTTGACGCGCCCGAAATGCGATATAACTAATCAATCCAAAAAACTGCCATGAACCAGGTAACCAATGATATTTAATTACCCCGGAGCAATTTGTACAAACCTCACGGCAATTCTAGAGGCAGCCTGCGAAGACCAATAAGCTAGTTTCCTTGCCTGCGACCATGTCATGCCTGTTCTAAATGCAGATTCCAGCGTTTGGGTCCATGCGCCCGGGGTGGGGATGTGGAGGAGTACACATTAGAGACAATGAAAGATCTGTAGCAGCAAAGGCTGCTCGCCTATTGGACAGCATATTATAGTAATTAACGAAGCCAGTGGATAAAAAGGAGGATAATTGCACGAGTGGTATGTTCAAGAAAACGAGTTTTTTAGGAACGAGTTTTTTTATTTACCACGAGTGTAATTATACCCCTTTATCCACGTGTTATGTTCAATGTTTTTTCGTTTCTATTTAAGAAAAATTTAAATTTTGAAAAATCCAATCACATCTTTCACTTTCGAAGCATACATTTGATGACGTCGTATTGCTTCTGGAAAAGATCTATTTTAGTGTCATTGTGTACTTATGATCCCCATAGTGAAGATGAAGAAATGTTTGCAAATGCAAATTGTTGAGCATTCCGGATGAATTATTAAAAGAAGCGAACAAAGACATGATTACATTACTTCTCTCGAAAAGTAGACAGGTATGAGAGAAAATATAGTATGTATATAAATGTTGGAAAGAAGAAAAAAGAAGTCACTTCTGACTCAGAAGTTTTGCTGGAGTACTTTTTAGAACGGGTAAATACATCTGACGTTGACAACTATTTGTTACCTTACTAATGTGCTAAGACCAAATGTTTTACGTATAAAACGTACATGTATTTAATACTTATAAAACGTACGTATATTTAATAGATTCATTTTAAATATTTTAAGATGTTCCATTAGTCAGGTACAATCACACCTACGTCTACTTCACCAATTTTGTTTTATTCATTCATTGTTTACATGTAGTGGATGTAGGTTCGTCATCTGTGCTATACATTTTTGTTGATGTTTCATATGGTTTGCGGCTGGAAATACCTTGACCATGTCTGTGTTAGAGTGACTTATTTAAACGATTGTGATCCTTTTCTGAATTCTTATTGGTAGCTGTTGAGTTTTTATTGCTCGCGTGCAATTAATGTAGTGATAAAAGCGATTTTTCATGGAATTGGAGTTATTTAATTCACAAAACAAAACAAAATATTAAGAAAACATTCTTTTCTTTATTTCTAATTGCGCAACAACCGAGGTTGGACGTTGGTCAACATTCAGTACTGTCGCATACTCTCAGTACTGTCGAAGTATTTTTCTTCTTTGTGGCGTCATATGGGAAGGCAAAATCAGTTCAACGTCAAACTCTCTAAGGATGGGAGTGGCGACAGATTTGAGCAGGAGGATCAGGTTCGAGTTTGGGCTCGGGAGTGGTCCGTCTCCCGTTGTTTAAGGTACTGCACCGGCATCCGCCTAAAATTCGCATTGAACTTATTGCATTATTATTCCGTTATTCCAAAGTGAAATAAGTGTCAATGATAATGTTACAGAGATTAATTATTTCGTATGAGATATAGAAGTATCGTATAGAAGTATCGAAATTCGTATAGAAGTTACATTAGTATGAGACACAAAATTGAATTCCTTATTCGTGTGAATAATTTGGGGCTATAAATATTAAGGATAGAGATTTATCCCCTTAATGAAATCTGTTCGTTAAAGATGAATTTTAAAATAGGTCGTGTATAGCTTTTCCAAAATTTGAGTACTTTTCGGTTTATTTTGCGTGAAAATTCGGGTGAGAAACTATTTCCTGTTTAGTACTACTAGTTTTTGGTTTAATTGCGAATTGGAGTATTTTATAAAATAAAGTTTCATAAAATACTGGGAGGGGAGAGGTAATTTCAATTTGTCGAAACGCCGTGGTGGCGTTCCAGGGGGTTCGTTTTTACTTCCCCTATAATTACAGGCATTCGAAGCAGTTTATTTTCGGCATGGAAAAATTAATCGACTCCGGCCGTGTTTAAATACTAAATAATGATCTAGTAGCTCGACCAATTCGCCCGAGCCGATCTTACAATAATTGATACGTAGGGAGCGGATTCACGTGTAAATATATCCAAGATAGAATTATACAGGTATAAGACTCCCATTTTTATTTATTTATTTTTGGAGTCATCAAGATATTCTGATTGAAATAAAAAAAATGTGTGTTACTTTTATATATTATAGTACAATTACATACATTTTTATTTTAATTATTACTACATATTTAGAACTCAATATATGTCGAAACGGAATATTTTAACTAACGAGTTAGCCAATATTTTCCTGGAACAATCTTTCCGTTAAACAAAACAAATTATAATATGGTACTGCGCTTCTATGACCTCCCGGCCTCCGTCGTAAATTATTAAACCTACTTACTATTTTTAAACTTACTGTTTTTCAGAAATCGCGTACTCGGAAGCGAGTGCTTGCGATGTATTTGCAACTATGTGCGTACTGGTTTCATTGAGGTCGAGCGCAACCCGAAACCTGACAAATATTTCTCAGAGACCGTTCTCTTATCGAACTTCCTGCTAAGAAACGATACCACTCGATCACGAATGCAAGATTAGGAACCTAGCCTACTAATGAAATGCCGAATAGAGCCTTTGCCTTATTGTAAATATTTTCGAATGCGATAGAATCAAAGTTTGTTAAATGTTTTCAATCGAGTTCAAATACAAAAAATATTGGACTGACGGAGGGGGGGCGTGCTCTCCATTAACTTTCTTCCCTCCCTCTGCATCTTCTCCGACTGCGCGGTAAGACTGTTCACGTGTGCACCGGCTCCTCTTAAACAATATTGTTTGTAGAGCGTGTAATATTTTTCGTATGAAACTCGTAGGAGTGCAAACTGTTGTCCATTTCATGTTCATTTGCTTGTTCAGTCGTTTCAAATGCATTTTAAGGTCTGATCGACAACGTTTACGTTCGAAACTGTAAAAATACTTGTATTGAGCAATTTTAATTTCAATCACGACACTGAAATGTTTCTGACGCGGATGTCCTAAGGTTCGAGTCTCCACGAAGGCAGGGTTTTCGACAGTAGCTAGTTAGCTTGGTCGAGTTCAATCGCTGTCTGGAGAGAATTCTTGCGGCCGGTTGCTCTGATCGATAGTTTTCCTTGGTTTCTCCGATCAACACCGGTCCGGTGAATACTAGAGCAGTATCGTAAAACACAGGGCACGGATCGCGTACGATCTTTCCTTTCTCTTCCTTGTCCTATCCTCATCCCTTACTTACACACACACACACACACTTCCACCCACTACACCCGGCACTACTCTACCAGGAGACCAGTCGCGAGCCTAGAGCTTGTCCCGGCTGGGGCGGTGCCACGCGGATGTGAGACACCTGGTAGGGGAAAATTCCTCTAGCCGACCGTAGGTCGGCGTCGGATCTCGTCATCCAGCGAGAGATCACCGCCTCCTTTCGGGGGGACATACACTACACTATCGGGACTAATGACCTTAGCAGCTGACGTGAATCACTAATCGATCAATCGATCGATCACATGTTTGTATTTTAGATATTTTCTATTTTCCCTTGCATATTTACAATTATGCATTTATGTGTTTGAGAAAAAGATGTTGCCGGGTTTGCA